ACCCGCTCGGCCTTTATTTAGCCAGTCCGTTTCCTGGATGCTGGCTCTCTGCTGGCCTTTCACCTTGAGAACCTCTTGGTTCGCACCTAACTCCGCGCTGAAAAAAATCTAGTAAGCTCGCTGTGGCTCCACAAACCAGGAGCCTGAGGCAGGAGAATCGCGAGTTTGAGGCCAGCCTGGGTTACAGGGTGACTCCAGAGTCATAGGTGGTTACACATTTAACAACACAAAAGGGGTGTGGGGGTGCCTCAGCAGTTAAGAACACTTGACACTCTTCCAGAGGACCCGGGTTCAATCCTCAGCACTCACAAACAAGACTCACAGCGGCCTGTAATTCCAGTTCCAGGGCATCCTATTAGGCCTCTGGCCTTCCAGGGCACTGAAGTCATTGCGCTTATCCTACACAGTCAAACGCACGCGCTCACACACACGTGTACCTAACTGAAAATAGCTGAACAAGTCAGTCTTTTGAAAATAAAAAACACAAACAGGCCAGGCTCTCACCGTTAACCCCAGCGCTCAGGAGGCAGAGGCAAGCAGAGCTCAATGAACTGGACACCAGCCTGGCCTACATAGTGAGTTCCCAGTCAGCCAGGGCTACTCAGTGGGACCCTGTGTGAAAGACAACAATAATAGCAAAACAAGAACTTGAGAAATCTGTGACCCCCCCTCCATGTCCTCCTAGAGAAGTGGTTCTCAGCCTTCCTAATGTTTTGACCCTTTAAACACAGTTCCTCGCGTTGTGGTGACCCCCCAGCCATAAAATCATTTTTTTGCTACTTCATAATAACTGTAATCTTCCTATTGTTGTGAACTGTAATGTGTGTATCTGTGTTTTCCAACGGTTTTAGGTGAACATTGGAAGGGTCTTGTGACCCCCCAACCTGCTGGTTGAAAACCACTGATCTCAGTCATAATTCTGTGACTCTCCCAGTCTCTGGGTAAACTGGGACAAGCACAGATTTTATGCTCTTCGGTGTTCTCAAGGAGGCCAGGCTGGAGCAACAGTTACAACTGAAGGAGAAGCCGATGTTTGTGAGCTCCTGGGTGCCCATCTGTGAAATGGGAAGGGCAAAGCTCTATAACACCGGGAAGAATAGAGGAGAGAGAGCAGGATGAGAGATACCATATTAGAGGGAGCCACTATAGGACCAAGAAGAGATCTGGAACCAGGGAGATCTCCAGAGACCTACAAGGATGACACGATCTGACAATCCAGGCAATGGTGGAGAGGATAACCTAAAAGCCCTCCCCCTAAAATGAGATTGGTGACTTCTCTTTATGCCATCCTAGAGCCCTCATCCAGTGGCTGACGGAAGCAGAGACAGACATCCACAGATATACACTGAGCTGAAATCGGGAATTTAGTTGAAGAGAGGGAGGAATGAAGATCGAAGAGGTCTGTACCAGGTTGGAGAAACCCTGGAACAGTTGGCCTGAACAAGGGAGAGCACATCGACCCCAGATGCTGTCTGGGAGGCCAGTACAAGACTGATCCAGACCCCTGAACATGGATGTCAATGAGGAGGCCTCTGCACTCCA